CTAGGGAGAGGGAGGGGATCCAGAGGGAGGCAGGGGAGGAAGATTCAGGACAGTCCAGGGTGATAGAAACAGCGGGTATAGGAAAAATCAGGATGCGGTTTCGGTGGGTAACGGAGCAGAGGGTTGAGGGTTGCAGGGTGGATGGGTGGTTGATTGTGGCAAGGACGAAGTGGGGGAGCCAAGGGTGGAGAGGAAGCAATGCGGAAGAGGAAAATGAGGCATGGGGTTGGGTTTGTGGGCAAGAATGGAGGTGAGTTGTATTTCGATCCAACCGATAGAAGTCCGAGAAGGAAAGGGAGGGATGAGGGGTGGCAGGCTGAGTAAGGATGGCGGGTTGTTCATGGGAGGTTAAGGATGGGTATACATGATTCAGGTAATTAGAATTTGGGTCAAGACAAGGGCCCAAATCCATAGACTTCACAGGCTTAACAGAAGGGCCAACAGTAGAAGAGGTGTCACGGGCCGGGAGTTGGGATTTTGGGTTCGGAGTGGGCCCGAACTTTCTGACCCAGGATTTCTTCGATCGAGATTCTTTGGCTGGCCACGCAGCTGCATGGGGAACAGAAGCTTCTCGAGCTGAAGCAGAGCTCCTGTCAGAAGGGCATGCGTCCACGTTTCTCGATGATGCATACGGCCCGAGAGGGCTTTTCGGATGCCTGGAGGCCAGGCGAAGAGTCTTAGTAGTCAGCAGCCTTTTTCTGTTTAGATCTGCAACTGGCGGCGGGATGATCGGTGGCGAAGAAATCCAAACCAAAAACTTTGTTTTGCCAAAAACAAGGGGAATTTCACAAGGGAATGGGGTCTGTGATCGGACTTTGATACGGACAAAGGGGTCCGACAATTCACCCCAGTCTACGTCAATGAAGCCGCCGCAAAGTTCACCGATCGACTTACACACCTCCAGGCATTTAAGATGAGGGGGAATGCCAAGTCAGCCCGCCCCGGGGTTTGAAGCTTCTCCCGTCATTCTCCTTCCAGTATCGAATAATGACATTCCGACCTTTGAATTTCGCATGGCCGATGCTTTGGATTCTTATGGCCTCTGATAGAGAGGGGCAGATCAGGAGCCAGTAGTCACCCGCTCTTCTGGAGAAATGGAAATTCTCGGTCAGGGCTCAGTTCTGTCTAGCCTAGACTTTAAATGGGACAGATAACTCTATGGGTAGCCCTGTGTTTCGATTATTATAAAACTCGATGGTGAGACATCTGTCCAAGTAGGAAAGCCTGTCTGCAACGCCAACTTCTTCAACTTCGATGAAACTAATCGACCCCAATCTCTTAATGCGATAGCTCCCTGAGAAATTTGGGAGTCCCTCCTTCACAGCCAATGCATAAGATCTTCCAGGAAGAACCCGAGCGTCGCGGCGGGGGGCTCTTGGAGCGGTGGGTCCCAAGAAGGAAAAGTCCACAAGTCCCGAACAGAGTTCTTTGCATCCGGCCAAATCCGCAGAAAACAAGATATAGTATTCCCGCCTGTCATTAAGACTTTCCCGGATCTTGATGTATCTGCCGAGGCGATTGAAATGAGACGAAACACTGATGGAGCGGTTCACGATCACCTTCTTCAGTACTCAGGACGGGGATCGAGGATCATCAGCAACCTGAAGAATGGCGGTCCGAAGCCAGGCAACGTGACCCCGCTCAAGGAAGATGAAACGACAATGATTGGGCTCCCCAGCGACCGAGAACTTCAAGAGAGACTTCTCGGTCTCGTAGTTCTCCATAGTGATGCGCTTCGATCCGATCTGGCAAGAGAAAGGTCCATCCGATGCCCGCAATCTGTGGGTGCCTTCCGCGTCCGAGCTCCGCTCCAAGGTCGTCGACCTGCAAAACAGAGAATCCTCACCAGAACGCACCCCTACTCTCCGGACAGGATGGTCTCTCCCACTGATTCTCGCTCTCTCTCTCATCTCTCTCAACTTATTGAAACATTTTTAATGCTCAATAACAGAACTTACTCCGTATTTTCTTGCAACAATTGATATATCTTCTTCTTCTCTCAACCTCTCTGCTCTGTTGGTTGCCTTCTGCACCATTATCAAATGCCATAGTCTCATCTTCATCCATCGAAAGCACCAACAATCTCCACGTTCACTGCATTACAAGCAAGATGGGTGCATTATGGAAAGTTGTCCAACACATTCAGTAGTATAATTAAAAGCCTTCTTTAGCTTCATAGAATCCCAGAACCAAATATCGAGACCGGATCAGGTCAGTAACTCTCCTATTATTAACTGTCAGTAATCCAATCATCTGTCCCCACGTGTCAGCCTTTTCCTTTTATTTAAATTAAAAAACGGAGGGGCACTAAGGTAAATTGCACCACTTTTTAATGATGACGCTCTGACGCTGACTTTTTGACCAGACGCGGATCCCACTCCCCCATCACACACTGGTTCCCCCCTCTTTCATTCTTTGTTTTATTATTAAAAGAAAAAATACATTATTTCTTCTCTCTCCCATCTACAACAAAATGAATCTAACCATCCTAGCTATCTCTGTTCTAATTCTAACTCAAATTGAATGATGATTTTTTTTGTTAAATAATTCAGTGCTAAACACAGTAATTACAAGTATAAATATGATTATCACTTTCTACTATCATGGTAAAACATGGTAAATATGTTGAAGAAAATTACAAATCTAACTATGATACAATACCACATGGTATAACGCGGTAAAACATGGTAAAATATGTTGAAGAAAATTACAAATCTAACTACCATACAATACCACATGGTATAACGTGGTAAAACATGCTACAGAAATTTACAAATCTAATTACCATACCATACCATACCATTTGGTATAACATGCTAAAATAAAATTACAAATCCAACTACCACCACATGGCATAACATGGTAAAACAAGTTATAGAAAATTATAAATATAACTATCATTCAATACCACCATAGTAGAACATGGTTAATCGAATGAACACAAATTAATTGTAATTACCATACAATACCACATGGTATGAGAAGGTAAAACCATACGAAAATAATATAAATCTAATTACAACCCTCTACGACCATAGGAAACCATTATATCTATAAAAATACATTTCGTTACCACACTTTAACATATGGTATAGACACATCACCATATGGTATAGTGTGGTAATCTCAATATAATATATACAATTACGACTCTCTTCACTTTCTTCTCCCACTTCATTGTCTTCTAACTCTTCTTTCTCAGAACTGTTGTCGATTACCACCCACTACCACCATGATAAAACTCGTGACCATAAAAATACATTTAGTTAGCACACATTACCAGATGGTATAGTGTGGTAATATCAATATATATTACCTAAAAGAAGGAAGAAAAACAGAATGAGGGAGAGAAAAAACTCGTCTTATGACTACTCTCATTTCCTCTTCCACAATCAAGAACATCAAATGCAACAAAAAAAGGGAGGAAGATTGGAATTGAAAATTCGCAAACAAATACTAAAACATAAAACATGCAAACTCAACTCACCTAGATTTGTCCCCTCTTGGTCAATATGGAGCGTCATCTATTTTGAGGCCGAGAAAAGAAAGAACAGAAGGAAGGATTTGGAGCGTCACCAAATTTGAGAGGGGAGGCTGCAATTTTTTTCTTTGTCGATTGGAGGAAAAAAAATGAAGAACAAGAGAAGGAAACAGATCTAGATCTGGAAAAAGGTGTTTGGAAGAGAGAATGAAGAGAGACAGAGAAAGAAAAAAGAGAGAGGAAGAGAGATCTGATTTTATCTTTCCTCAATTAAAAGCCAGCATATAAATGCTGGAAAAAATAAAAAAAAGGAAAGAAATAAATTTCAAAAATCGGACAAAAATGCCCCTCCACACTCCGTGTCAATCTTAGCCACACAATGTTTCCCCCCTCAGATCTACGGTTCCCATTTGATTACTGATGGATGAATTACCTAAGGTTACTCACTGTATCCTAAGTCCCAAATATCTATTCCTTTGTCAATAAGTATATAAATATACAAGCAGGGGAAACACAACTTCATATTCCCTTATGGATCATCAACAACGAAAGCTTAAAAACCGGAGGGGCATTTGTACTCAGAATTGATAGAATGGAGATCGGCTAGGAATCAGTATCAATGATTGTAGTGAGGGAGAATTCCATTCAGATCAAATGGCAATGAATTGGACAAGGGACAACGACAAGGAGGACAAACCGGTGAAAATTATGGTCTCTGGTGGCATAAACAGACGTTAATGGCGACGATGACGACGGAGGAAGGCTGTGCCCGGCAGCGCGAGGAGACGAATTAGATGAACACATAGGGAACGATCCGAATCTGGCACCGGAAGATTCTACCGGGGAAGGCGATCCTGATCTAGCACGGCTTATACGACGCCTACCCCGGGGAAACCAAAGACAGCTCGCCCGCCGTCAGATTCTCCACGGGCGACGCCGTCTCCATGGTCATCCCCAGGCCCGAGCGGGCGGAGACGGGGGAGAATTGCTACGACGGCGGCGGCTACGACTACGGCGGCTACGACTACGGTGGTTGGAGGATGGGCAGAGTCGGAGATGTTGGGGAAAGAGGAGAGTGGCAAAGAAGGGTTTTAATTCATCCAAATTTCAATTTTTGTTATATTTTGTTAATTGACCCTTTTACCCTTGTGTTGTTATAGTATCCGCTCCCCTTCATTACTAGCACCAATCTGGGGAGACTATTAAGCAGTCTACAACCCATTTGATAACCCTTCTAACATTTTTTTTTTGTCACTATCCATACCCTTGTAACATATCGTTGACCTATTATTTTAAGACCATGTATATTGTATAATCCCTTAGAGACGTAGGATTGCATGGATCATGAAAGCCCATGGTAGACTCGTCAGTCGTCACTTAGGGTTTGCGATGGTAGGAGTATGTATAAAACCCCTGCTGACAGAGATACAGATCAGCAACTACGGCAAGCTTTTTATTGACTACATCCATTTTACTTTTACCAAATGGAAAACAAAACATGCATCATCAATATTATGATACGTTCAAACTTTTTTTACTTGAGAGTTTAAAGGCAATCGTGAATTAATAGATTACAATTAAGGGCACTTGCGACGGCCGCCATGAGTGGTCAAGGTCGCATAGCAAGGGCACTCGTTGTAGTTGCCGGCGGTTCCGGTAGGGACGCAGCTGCATCGGCGGCAACAGGTCCCACAAGCCCTGTGGCATAGGTTCGGCCTGCTGGATAGCTGAGCGTCTCCACAATCTGATCAAAACCATCGTAAACATCACGTTAGCTAGTTGGTAACTTAGCCTTTCATGTGGATAAATTTCCTACCTAGTAATTCAGATTTAACATGAATTTTTATGCTGAAATTTCAATTACAAGAAAAATGATTTTTCGACGATCCAATAGTCGAAAATAACTATAGAAGCTAGCCCGGTAGAAATGTGATGAAACCATTTTGTTACTTTTGGCGACCGTCTGGTTGCATCATTATGATAGTGTTGATCAATTTACGTACCGATTGATTGAGTGGAGTAATTATCAGCATGAGCGAACTGAAGGAAGAGAAGTGAGAGGAAAAGGGTAGCCATTACAAGCTTGGAGAGAGCCATTTTTGTGGAGGGTTTGTGAGAGGATTTATAGTTTATTGTAGATTGAGAGATAATGAGAACTTGGGATGAGTGGTGGGAATGGAGGGTTGGCATTTATAGTGACGAATTTTCGTTGTTATAGTGGAAAAAAATCTTAAGAAATTAATAAGGAGATTCCAAAATTTTATGTTGCCATGTAGGAATTTTGTATCTCATCATTTTATATTTTTATTATTAAAATTCAATTTTCTCTAACCTCGGAGCTTTCTTGTCTTAAAAAAAAAAAATCCAACTATCATATAAATTACTTGTACAAAATGATTATCAGAAAGAATATATAAAATTATTGTTGTAGGAGGTGTGAGAGGCTTCAATGACTTCTCAGTCCTCAAACCCAATGTATATATATTTTTCGTTGGTTGTTGGCTCCAAGATTCGAATCCAATGTGTGGTGAATGAACCTAATATATATTTCAAACTACCTATGCAAGCATGCATATAATTGATCATGGAAAAATTATGAAAATTAGAGTACAACACAAAGAGAGTCATCGGTACCACATGAATCAAAGGTCCTATAGCCACTAATTCACAAATCAAGCGGCCCAACAAGGAGAAAGATAGGAAAGATCTTATACTTCAACATCTTCCATAGTGCTACAACTGCCTCTCTAGGTTGCATAGTACTATAAAGACTGACAATTCAAAGCATTATGAGCAAGCAATTGCAAGGAACACGTACTATCAGAACCCTCAAATCTTAAAATTTGGACAGTGGACTAGGCTCCTAACACACAAGCACATCCAATGCAGTCAGTGGCGGATTCATAAAATTTTCACAGGGGTGTCCTCTTCAATAATTAAATTTAATTATATAATAAATTAAATAATTTGTATATTAAAAATATCATACTTGTATAATTTGTATAAAATTTTTATTAAATAATAAATTAAAATTCATATTTTGAAAAAATAATATAAATAAACTCCGTGTTTGCACTGTTCAAAAAATCTACATATCCTACTAGACAATACTTCACGAACTTATCACATATTCGATTTCTAACCTTGTTCTTAATGTAGCTCAAAGTAGAAAAGACTATTTCAACACTTGCCATGTAACCATAAAATCAATTCAAAATTAAGGGTAGCGTGTACGTAGATTAATTATTAGGTATTGAAAATAGTTGGGGATAAAGAAATAGCGTTTTACTCTTGCATGATGTTTAAAATAGAATAACAAATGAGTAGCAACATAATTAGAATATGTTTGATAATAGTAGTGTCCTAGGTTGGAATAACACGGACTACCACTTATATTTTGTTAATCATAAGCAAACTATTATCGATGGTAGGATAATCATTTTTTCAAATGTTAGGGTGTCCCGGATTACCAATTATATTTTGTATACCCATACGAAATTACTACCGGAGGTTGGATAAACGTTTCCCCAAATTTTAGGGGTGTCCCGGGACACCCCTAGAGTCCCATGTATCCGCCCCTGCATGCAGTCAAATATAAACACCCCCATACTTAAGATCGACATGGCTCTCAATGGAGAAGAGGGAAGGATAAGGGGAACAATAATACCTGAAAAACGAACTACAACAGGACTGGAGAATGGACCATTCGCCGGGAGAAACAACCACTAGATCATGAATCGTTAAGAACAGTTGCCACCCACATAGGCTAAAAACAAAATAAAAACACACAATGACTCAGTTCACGCTCCCACTGTTACGAGACGAGCCATCGTATCGATATGGGAATTTCTGGCTCATCTATTTTTATTAATTAGTTGGTATTTTACTTGGGATATTAAGTATTGTTAATTGTTTTCATTATTCTAGAAGGATTTGGATAGTTAATAATAGTTTTCTTGTTCAAGTAGGATTTGTCTTATTATTAGTAGCTTCCTTATAGGAGTAGAAGTCATGTTCTAGATAGGAAAATGTAGAAGCTTCTATGCCTATAAATATGTACTCTGTCTGTCGTTTAATGTCATAAGAAGATTGGAACCCAAATATCTTTCTTATTGTCTTTCGCTTATTGTGAGTTTCTTAGTTTCCTTTGAGCGTTTATTTATTTCATTTCGAGTAATCGTTCTAGTTCGTTCTATTTTCGTAGTTTAGTTCATAAAGTCGTTCTCCTATAAAAATCTACGTTACAACTGGTATTCGAGCCTGGTTGCTAACATGTCAAACAAGCCGCCGAAGACCAAGAGTGTGACGACAAGTGAAAGCAGCGAATCGGATCCGGGTAACGCGCTTCTGCTGGTTGTGGAGGAACAAATCATGGGATTGGAGGGGAGAGTGGATCTGGTGATGGAGCGCATGGAGGCAATCGATCACAAAATCGATGACTCTGTTCAAGTAGCAATTCAAAGAACGAACACGGTCAAAGAAGCATTGGGGAAGCAAATCGAGGACGCTGCCTCTATAAAGGCTTCATTCGTGGATCAATTCGGAGCTATGGATTATAATCTGGAAGCCATGAATTGGAGGTTCTGAATTATGGAACTGCTCTTGCGCGACCTCAACAACAAGGTGGTTAGCAATGGAGAATCCTTAGTTCTAGGAGGAGAATGGGAGCAGGCGGTCATCGAGCAAAGCCATCCCGCACCGGTGACGTAGGTTACCGCCGAGGAATAGGAAAAGCCATCCAAGATGGAGGAGTCCGGAGGAATCAAAATGGCCATTTTAACAGACCACGTCAACATCAACACACCCTGCAACATGGCCACATTGAAGACCACGTCCGAAAAAGTAAAAAAGCTTGCAAAAGATCAACGTGGGCAGCAAACATGGCCATGTTCGAGACCACGTCAATATCAACACACGCTGCAACATGGCCACGTTGAAGACCATGTCTGCAAAAGTCAAAAAGCTTTCAAAAGGTCAACGTGGGCAGCAACATGGCCATGTTCGAGACCACATCAACATCAATACACCCTGCAAGATGGCCACATTCAAGACCACGTCAACAAAATTCAAGGAGCTTTCAAAAGGTCAACGTGGGCAAGAACATGGCCATGTCCGAGACCAAGTCAACATCAACATACCCTACAACAAGTTCATGTTGAAGACCACGTCAACAAAATTCGAGGAGATTTCAAAGGTTCAACGTGGGCAGCAACATGGCCATGTCCTAGACCATGTCCACATGAAAACACCCTTCAACCCAGCCATGTTGAAGACCACGTCAAGAGAAGTCAAGAAGCTATCAAAAGGTCAACGTGGGCATCAACATGACCGCGTTCCAGGTCGTGTTAACTGTCAAAATTACGTTTGACATTCATTTCGACATAGAGATCACATTTATGATGTTGCCGATCATTGGATCTAACACGGCTTGGGAACACGGCGGTGTTGGTTGGGCACGTCTACCTTTTCTGCACGTTTTAAGAGAGAAACCGAAAGTTTCGTCCACCTACTAGTCAACAAGGCCTGGAACACGACCGTGTTCTCCGACCATGTTGAGAGGGAAGAAGATACATAGAATAAATTGAGGAAGACTTGATGTTGAGAAAGATGGATCCTCTCTTCTAGCTTATCATCCTTCTTCTCCTCTTCTCCTTCCTTCAGCTTCTCTCTCTCTAACCAGAAATTTCTATCTCAAAATCAACTCTCTTCAAATGGGAAAAGGGGTCTTCTATTTATAACCTTCAGGGGACAGACAAGTTCACGGCCAGGCAGGGGAAATATCATGGTCGTAATCTTCTTCCTTGAGATCGCGATCTGCAAGCGTCGCCATTTTGGCCTTCAAACTCGGGGAGTTTGCGGGCTAACTTCACGGTCGAGATTCGTGCCGCGAACTTCCTCGTAGTCAGAGTTAGGGGTGGACAATGGGTTGGTCCACACTGAACCACACCGGACCGAATCGAGTTTGGATCGGACCACACTGAATCGAATATAACATGGTCTGGTCTGTGGTCCCATGAATTTTATAAATACTGAAGAAAAATAGACCGAATTTACATTTGGACCAGACCAAAGTGGACCAAACAGATCGAATGCACGATTGGTCCGGTCCTTGGTCCTACATTATCTTTTACTATTGGACCGCGATTCTCTAAATTTGGTCCGATTTGGTATGAACCGGACCGATGCCCACCCCTATTCAGAGTGACTGTGGTCATGATTAGACTGGGGAAACTCTCTATTTCTCCTCGACTGGCTTCTTCACGAAGTTCGCGCCGGAAGCCTCCAAATTCGCGGCTGTGATATTAGGCTCTCAGGCCATGATCTTCACCTTGATTTTGCAGTCTGATTTCTCGGCCATGATCTCCTTCTCCAGGCCGTGATCATCAACTTCCTGCTCATTTTGCCACACTTGCGCCCCTTTTCATACATTATTCGCATGTATTGTCTAAAGCGCCCTAAAATCATATCATAATCAAATAGGAAAGGAATAGGGATACAATTGACTCTATTCTAACGATTATGCACAAAAAGTATCATGAAACAATCGTAAATATGAAGGGTAAATAACACCAATTTGGGTGTTATCAACCCTCCCCCCCCCCCCCCCCCCCACACACACACACACACTTGTGTTTGCTTGTCTCCAAGCAAACCTACTCAAACCAATGCAACTTGATAGATAAATCAAAGTGGGATGCACTCTAGTTCTTCATTGAATAAAGAAGAGTAGACAGAGATGAATGAACGTTATTATCATCGTACTGTGCTTGCATTAACTCTTGGGTGAGAACCATACTTACAACCATAAGACGAACATTCAAGGTGTGCACTGGGGGACTTCTCAATCACTATGTAGAAGCAGGATCTGATACCACTTGATGAGCCCTAGTTGGGTCTCACTTGAACCAGAATCGCGCAGTCCAATCTCAATCAATCAAAGAGATTGATCAAGAACAAACAAAATTCAAAACAAGCTCGGATGAACTAGTTAGAATTGAATTATGACGAAAACAAAAGGGTAAACTCACACCTGGGAGAATGCACAATTATTATAATGATGCTTTCACTATTATCGAGTGGGATTTCTCGATCAATAAGCTACCTTCAGCAAGTTTTGGAACTCTCCAAAACCCAATCAGCTCACAAACTCACAAGCTTGTGAATTTAGGGCGAAAATCAATCTTATCCATCCTCCCTAGTACAAAAATGAATTGAACCTTTTATAGGTAAATTACAAACTCTAGCCGAGGCTAAACACAACTTGAAATAAACCTAATTCATCTAGGAAACGAAATAACTAATCCTTACGGCACAAGGATTTCCTGCCTTCCAACACATGAAACCAAATAGTCCTTCATAGCATCTTTGGACGTCTCGCAAATGGTTTTCCAGCTTGATTCGAACTCAACCAATGCCCTCACATGGGTAAGAAAGTTTATACTTTTATTCACAACTCGAAGCTCCCTTTGGGTCTACCTCAAACTCCACAAATAAGGCTCCAAAGATGGTACCTCAAACACGGGTTTTGCCTTAGCCAAATTTAGACAGCCTTCAGGTTTCTTCATAGCACTTTGGGAAGCTTCAAAAATGAATTTAATAGCTTCCTTATGATCATCCAAGCATACCAACATGTAGAAAAACATTTGGACTTCGATTCTAGACCTTCTCCTTGAATTTTCATCGAGCCATTTGTGAGAGCCACACTTGCAAAGTAGGTAACCTGAAACAGAATAAACACTTAGCTAATTTTCAGGTTTCTTCTTCCCATTTGAACTTGCTTCTTTAACAATCAATGGAGACTTTCCACGTTGTTGTTATGTAGCCTATCGGTTTAAGGGTTTGTGTTGGAGGATTCGAGCGAACTAACTAGTTAAGAAAGTAAATAAAGATAAAAGCAAGTAATTCGGGGAACTATCCCTCACCCTATCCTAGGAGTACTATGCAATGTCTAGATAATTAGGGTTTGTTGAATGTGGTGAGTGAGCTTTTTCCGTGGGCTTTCATGATTATCCACACGCCTTCGAGTACGTCTCCCCTAAACCCATGTCAATCACCTCGATCTAGACTATCGTATATGTGGCATTAAGAACATAGCTCCTTTCAATGGGTACTACCCACCGTCCACACCAAGGTTTTATCTGGGGTTCTATCTAGGAAGGCATTCCTATGGTAGGGTACGGTCGTCACGTCCACCATAAGATCCTATTCATACATCTAACCTCAATTTGCTTGATGGCGCATACTCGTCTAACCCTAGAAATCCATTCCCGACGTAGAAGCTCAAGTAGGCTAGTAGAGAAGATTATGACAATTTACCTAAACACAATCAAAGCTAGAGAAACAATGAAATCAACTAGATAAATACATTCATACATTACAATCATAAAATATCCATACATCACATAGTAACCCTAAAACTAGGGTTTGGGGTTTAGAACCCCCTAGTACCTTAGAGGACTACTCCATAAAGGAGTGAAGAAGATACATAGAAGAAATTGGAGAAGAATGCTTAATGTTGATGAAGATGACTTTTCTCTTCTAGCTTCTTCTCATTCTTCTCCTTCCTTCAGCTTTTCTCTCTCTCTCTAAAACCAGAAATTCTATTTCAAAATCAGCTTTTTAAATGTGGAAAGGGTCTTCTATTAATAGGCATAAGAGACGGAGAAGTTTGCAGCCAGGCAGGGCAGAGATCGCGGGCTGACTTCGCGGTCGTGATCCACGAGTCGCGGCCGCGAACTTCCTCGCTGTTAATTTTCACTATGGCCGTGATCTGACTGGAGAAATTCTCTGTTTCTCCTAGCCTGCTTCTTTACGAAGTTCGGGCCCTGAGCCTTCAGATTCTCAATCGCGATCTTGGGCTTCCAGGCCGCGATCTTTACCTTGAGTTTGCATGTAGGGTTCTTGGCCGTGATCTCTATCTCCAGGCCGCGATCTTCAGTCTTCTGCCCCTTCTGCTACACTTGTGTCCTTTTTTGGACCTAATTTGCATGTATTGTCTAAAGCACGCTAAATTCACATCAAAATCAAATAGGAACGAAATAGACATTATGCTTGTGTAGCAGTGATACATCGTTGGATCGCTCGGCCATAGCATGTTCTGGTAGAGCATATTTACTGAGAAACAAAGTATGTTGCAGGATTATCTTGCCTCACTAGGACATTCCCTGTTTGTAGGGATTCATACGATTGATATACTGAGTAGTGTTCTTTCTTATTGGTTGTATTTTGATCGAGTCGGTGTTCCGACTCCAATTTGGTTTCATTAATAAAGGTTGTGGGCTTGCGGCGTCCTTTAATCGCTTCGTCTCTTAAAAAAAATGAATGAGATATGATCCGATTAAAAAATAAAAAATAAAAAAGCAGCATTTGACTGGTCATAAGTCTCCTTTCTTCCTCTGAATTTCGCGTAAAAAAACCCCAAAAAGTGCAGAATTATTAGTCGGTCCCTCTTTGTGTCTTAATAAATTTTGTACCCTTAAATTACATTTTAATAGACTACTCCAAACTTAAAATTTGTAATTTTGAGTTTTGTATGCTATCCCATATTTTGGATCGACGGTCAAGGTGGCTAGTGTGTTAAATATAGTACGTTGAGACCTTGATCCCCACCATATGCGTCCCTCGGAGAGCCGCAGTTTTACCGTCTTTGATTTGATCCCCAGTTTTGACTTTTACCTCTATGAAAGCTGGTCCGAAATTCCCCAATCCAAGCCACGACAATCGGACCGCTCCGCCGTCACGTCCGGCGTGCTTTTCCACCGGCACCTGATCACAAGCGAGTAGTCTTCGGCTGCACTCCACATTCCAAAACCAAATTAAAGTATCTTTTGGAGGCTTTGGCCTTTGGGGCTCTCCGCCTAAATCCCCAAATTCCACCCTTGTCGACTTCCCTCCAAGCTTTTCCGCCTCCGGGCATTTCTGGTTTCTTCATTCGGCACTCTCCGAGTTCCGGAATCTTTGCGAATTTGCTTTTTTTTTTTAAACTTAATCTGACTTGCCCTCTCGCTCCTCACTTTTGAACCGTTCGCAGAAGTCAATTTTCGGTTCTGGCGGGATTGATCCTCTATTTAATGAAGGGCTTGAGGCTCTGCTGTTGGGACCAGTGTCAGGACTGAGGTGTGTGCGTTGAGTTCCATAGAGATGGCGAGAGCAAGTATGGCTTTACAAGTGCCGAGTTTGAATGTTTGTGCTCGGAAACGATGCCGATTGTTCTGGGTTTCTTTGGTTGTACTGTTGTTGGCGAGTAGTACTAGGGTGGCGTTCTCCGATTCCAAGTACTTGGTTGGCCTCGGAAGCTACGACATCACTGGCCCTGCTGCTGATGTGAATATGATGGGTTACGCCATGTTGGAACAGACCACCTCTGGCGTTCACTTCAGGCTGCGTGCTCGGAGTTTTATCGTGGCGGAGCCGGGAAAGAACCGGGTGGTGTTTGTCAACCTCGATGCTTGTATGGCCTCGCAGATTGTGACCATCAAAGTGCTTGAGAGGTTGAAGGCCAGGTGATACTTCACTTCTTTGCCTAATGTTTGAACTTTCATTTGGCTTTGATAGTTTTGCAATTTCTGCTATGAGGGTTTTGGTGGTTAATTGGTATGCTTACTGAATTTTGGCAGGTATGGGGAATTGTACACGGAGAAGAATGTCGCGATCAGTGGGATTCACACTCATGCTGGCCCTGCGGGCTATCTCCAGTATGTTGTGTATATTGTGACATCTCTAGGCTTTGTTCGTCAGTCATTTGATGCCCTGGTCGATGGCATTGAGCAAAGCATTATTCAAGCACATGAAAATCTCCGGCCCGGATCAATTTATGTCAATACTGGTAGGGTTTCCATCTCCATCTATATATTTTCTTGCAGTAATTGTGAATTGCTGATTCTAGGACTACATAGCATTTTATAGCAAAAGCAGAAGTTTGGCCGATGAAGAAATGAGGGCGTCTCTTAGCCTTTGAGGCTCATCTGTAGTCTGGATTTGTTAAATTAGATGTAGTTTGTCAATGGATTGACCGTTTTAATTCACTTGTCATATGTTCTTCCTTGTGACTTCTGGTGGCAGGGGAAGTCATAGATGCTGGTATAAACCGCAGTCCTAGTGCATATCTGAATAATCCTACTGAGGAGCGCAGTAAATATAAATATGACGTGGACAAAGAAATGACCCTCATTAAGTTTGTGGATGATGAATGGGGACCAATTGGTAGTTTCAACTGGTTTGCCACCCATGGAACTTCTATGAGCAACACAAACTCTTTGATAAGTGGTGATAACAAGGGTGCTGCTGCTCGATTCATGGAAGACTGGTTTGAGCAGAATAGCGGTGCAAGTTCTGAGTCAGTTCAAAGTGCAGCCGAAGGAATCCCAAGGAGAGTCTCTAGTATCATTCCAGATGTGCACAGTCGCCGTAAGTTAACTTCTGCTTACTTTAAGGCCCAAATTAATTGAAAAGCAGTGCGGCATGTATTGTACTTGAAACAAGAGTCTGTCTTTACACCTTGCATATCGCAGAAACTGGAATGTACTTGACTAAGTTTTCAGTATGCTAGGGGGAAGAAACTCTGAAAGTTGCAAGTGATGACCTCACCTTTATGAGACTGCATTGGATGTACATAGAAGTAGTTTATGTTTCTGAAATATCATTGATTATGTAGTACTTTGTGTGCCCTGAATTTTTAAATGTGTCAGAATGATGTTGCATTCTGTCCTTAACTAATTCACAGGCAAGATACTTCACTTATTATGTTTCCATTTGATGTATTTCAGACCGTGAGCATGAGCTACTGGAGCTTGCTGCATCATTTGGTTCTGCTCCTGGTAAACCAGCAACAAAGATTCTAAGTGTTGCACAACGAGTAAGGAGTGCTCTCAGGAAGGCTGACAAACCTAGTTTTGTGTCTGCGTTCTGCCAGTCTAATTGTGGTGATGTTAGCCCTAATGTGCTTGGAGCTTTCTGTAAGGACACTGGGCTCCCCTGTGACTTCAATCACAGTACCTGTGGTGGAAAGAACGAGCTGTGTGTTGCCCGAGGACCTGGGTACCTTATCACCTTCATAAAAAAAATTCCATTTTGTTGATTAATATATCATATTTTTCTTGTTTAAATTGTAATGTCTTGTTCTTTACATCGCAGTTACCCTGATGAGTTTGAAAGTACACGTGTCATTGGAGAAAGACAATTCAGGAGAGCAGTGGAGCTTTTCAATAATGCAACTGAGGAGTTGACGGGACAGATTGATTATCGCCATACATATCTGGACTTCTCTCAGCTTGAAGTAATGGTCCCTAAACAAGGTGGAGGAGGTACGGAGGCAGTGAAGACATGTCCTGCTGCAATGGGGTTTGCATTTGCTGCTGGAACTATAGATGGATCAGGAGCTTTTGATTTTAAGCAAGGAGATGACAAGGCAAGTAAATGATGATTGCTGATGTTTGGGTCCCAAAATTCTCCAGCTCTGCATTAATATTATTGTTGAACATTGTGGCATCACATATCAGGGAAATGCCTTCTGGAAGATTGTGGGTGGCATGCTGAAGGCCCCAAATGAAGAACAGATTGCTTGTCAACAACCAAAGCCTATCTTGCTTGATACGGGGGAAATGACACTACCCTATCAGTGGGCAGTAAGTAGCATTCTACTTGTCTCTGTGCTTCTTAGACAACTTGAATACCAATTTTTTACAGGACCTTTTCATTTCCTGAACGAGATGATAATCTATACCCGATTGAAAGTTTCAACAAAGTAATAGGTCTGCTGTTGAGAATTAAGCCGGTACTTCGTTATGATGTTATTCTAATCTGTTCTACACTGGAATTACACTCTGCATGATGTTAGCAGGAATTACTTGTACCCTAATTTTGTTAATTGATTTTTGCAGCCTTCTGTTCTTCCAATCCAAATCCTTCGTGTGGGTCAGCTAGTTATTCTCAGCGTTCCTGGAGGTATGTACAAGTCCTTTTTCATGTTGTGCTTATTCTCTCTTGGGAAGGTGAACGCTGCCACTACTATAGAAGCATGTCAAATATGCCAACAAACTAATTTTCGAATCTTGTTGATTAGAATAGTCTCTTATGACTACGTCGTATACTGGAATTGGTCAGATTAAGAATTTTTTTTTTTTTTTTATAATTAAGAATGAAACACCTTCCACTCTCCAGATTATTATTATTATTATTATTATTTGATGAAGACACTCTCCAGATTATTTGCTTTTGTCATGAACCAGTTGATCCCAATAACTCGAGTTGTTGGGAGAGGTTCAATCGTGGATCATATACCAAACACTAACACGCCCCCTCAAACGAAAGCCACTCACAAGGGCTTGAAGTTTGCACAGGTTTGAAGACAAGAATATCATGTGCTTAACAAATGGGGTCACCGGGAATCGAACACAAGACCTCTCGGTCACAGAAGGCTCTGATACCATGTCAAGAACCAGTTGATCCCAATAACTCGAGTTGTTGGGAGAGGTTCAATCGTGGATCATATACCAAACACTAACAGCTTTGACCTGAATGTTTCCATCATCTCTTGGTTTCCATTCAGAATTCACAACAATGGCGGGAAGGCGACTTCGAGATGCTGTGAAGCAGGTGCTGACCAGTGGCAAGAATGAAAAGCTCCATGTCGTTATAGCTGGATTGACTAATACCTACTCACAGTACATAACCACCTTTGAAGAGTATGAAATACAGAGATACGAGGTGAGTTAATGTCCATCCCACGCTTATCTATGTATGCTGCACCCAGTGAGAACGAACACGGTAGTTCTCTCTGAAGTGGATTTAATTCACCAGGAATCAGAACTTTCCTAGCTTTAGATGTGTTCATCATCACTAAAGACGGCTGTTTTTTTTCTGCCCAATCAATTCCACAGGGTGCCTCTACTCTGTATGGTCCACACACACTGAGTGCATACATTCAAGAGTTCCAGAAGCTCGCAGGAGCTCTCGTTCGAGACCAAACCGTGGAGCCAGGTCCTCAGCCGCCAGATATGCTCAGCAAGCAGATCAGCATGTTGACACCTGTCCTCATGGACACTACCCCACTGGGTACTAATTTTGGCGACTGCAGCACTGATGTCCCCATGAACGCAACTTACAAGAGAGGTAGCATGGTGAGTGTTGTGTTCTGGTCGGCTTGCCCCAGGAATGATCTCATGACAGAAGGCACATTTGCACTGGTGGAGATCCTTCAGGGCACTGATACATGGATCCCAGCGTACGATGACGATGATTTCTGTTTGAGGTTCATATGGTCGAGGCCTGCGAAGCTGAGCTCTCGCAGCCATGCTACCATAGAGTGGAGGATCCCCCAGTCGGCCACCCCTGGTGTGTACAGGATCAGACATTTTGGTGCTGCCAAGGCGCTTCTTGGTTCCGTTCGCCATTTCACTGGCTCCTCCAGCGCCTTTGTTGTGGCATGAGATTAGCAACGTCTGGGAGTTTGTCAGATATGGGCCCGTCCGTTGGCCGGATGAGTAACAGTGTAAACAATATCTGTAAATAGTTTAATCAAGTTACGTTATTATGCACTATCATGAAAGAATCTGAATCAATCAATTACTTAAATATAAAAAAGAAACATACATTATACTTTTCTGACTCTTGATCATTCATGAATATAAGCCTTTATCAAAAGTAAAAAACATAACTCATTTCAATTCCTAAAATATAGTAGTCAAAGCACTTCAAATTTTCTTTTTAATAGTGATTGCTCCGCTTAAAGCGTTATCTTCTCCACACAACTTCATCATCACTAATGAGACCTTTATAATCATAATGCATAAATAGTATCTTCCATTTCTCTTGCCTTTCATTAGAGACAAACTTAAATTGTAAATTGCTTGGAAAGGAAACATCATTTTTTAAGTGATAGTTACAATGCATCTTTTTTTTTTTTAATTTTTTGTGCATGTGACACAACTATCATTCAGAATGAGTGATAGTTAAATCTCAAGTTTTCGTTGAGATTGTTAAGGTTGTTTGCTAGAGATTGTTGTGTTTTCTTCTTCTTCCAAATATGTCCCTACCTTTTACGTGTGTTGCTTTTTTATATTAAAAACAAAGGGTAAAAGTGACATTTTACCCAAAAAGTAATATATTTTATTTAAATACTACAATAACTATCACATAATAAAACGATGCAAACTACAATACACCAATTTTCTTATATACATGTATATTATTATGTATGCATTGATGACAATAGATCGATTTAACTATCACCAAAACCAAACGAACCTAAAATTACCTCAAGTGATAAATATTGTCAACGCTTCGCTTTTTCCTCTAGTCATTGAAATTTTTTATATCCACCTTCAAGAATCTCTTTCTTCTTCTCAACGATGTCATTATCCTCATCACTAAAGCCACTACCTCCGCCATTCTTCTTCTTCTTCTTCTTCTTCTTCTTCTTCGGTATTGCACTAAAAGAAAAAATTAAGTGGTAAATTTTTTGCAACTGTGAAACGTTATTTTCGAGAAGTTATATTTACATCGTCCATGTCATCAGCTTCATCTAAGATTACTCTTCCTCATCCTTCCTTATCTTCAATACGGTGTACTCACTTATAGGTTCGCGATGTTGTACTAGATGAGCTTAGTGCAAACATTCAACTCCATTTCCTCTATTTGTAGGAGATGAGGAGGTGACGGTTTTCTCATTATGTCACGATCTTCAATTAGTTTCTCAATATGAATATAAAAAACCTAACTCCCTCGCGATTCAGAATAATAAAGTCAGATTCAACAATTTTTTCCAAACTCGTAGCTTGATCCTGGATCTATAAAATGGCACTTATTGATATACACTATTTAGTCAAAATAGTTTTAGTGGGTATGATTTTTCTCTCGAATGAATGAAATTGAAGTTCAAAGGAATGAACCATAACAATAAAAGTTCAACGGAATGAATTTTATTATTGTAAAAGTACGCGTTGTCGTAGTCTTCTTGAAGTTTTCTTTGACATAAATTTTAATAAATATTATTTTTTCACCCAAAATTTTTAAATGAAAAGTTCAAACAAAGATATGTTCCTTTAATTTGATGGGAGATTAAAATCTATTAGTTGTAGTCCTTGATATTTGTGCTAGTTATCTTTGAAGGAGATTATGCACCAAAGTCCGTTCACTTTTACTTGTTCTTTGAAGATCAAGCTGGAACATTATTTTGCCAATTAAATGATTCTTCATGTAGAATATTTCTTCGAAACATAGAATATATACACATTACACAATAGTCAATAATAGTATGAATTAATTCAATAAATCAAAATAATATCGAAGCATGTGTAGCATAACGAAATAATATGTCAGCAGCGAAGATTTTTTTATCAAAATAATCATCAAAATAATATAATTCTCTCGCCATGATTTTATCGGAACCAATGAAATCGAAAGATGTTAAAAAAAGGAAATGAGTTGATGCTATTGACATATAAGAAACCTAGGTTTGAGGTAGTATAATCTCATAATTCCATATCATTGGCCAAAAGAAACATAAGAAATAAAGTATGTTGGCTACTAGTTTCAAAACTTGAACTTATATATGGGAATAGTGATCTACATTTCATTAGTCTAAGAAAACAACCAATACGGAGAAAATGACTTCACAAATAATTAATAATTAATCAGAAAACTGTTTGAACCTGACTGAGTGTAGGAGTGAGGTTCGGGAAAATGGGGCAAGAAGTGCATGTAATGAGAATACACTATTGGTTGAGGAACAAAGGAGTGAGAGAATGTGATTGAGAGAGCGATGTCTTAGAGAGAGAAATTGATAGTTTGTAGAGATAGAGTCTGAAAAATCCGATCCCTTCACCCACCGGAGTAAAATTAAAAGATGCTTAAATTGATTGAGAATGCTTGCATCGTTCCTGTGGGGTGTGGATGGAGATAGAAGGAAGATGGCTCTTGTTGCTTGGTCACAGGTAGCATTGTTGAAGTAGGAGGGGGGGGGGGGGGCTTGGTTTCAAAAATTGGAACAAAGCATGTGTGATTCGTCATCTGTGGAACTTACTTTCTGAGGCAGACTCCTTGTGGGTAGCCTGTATAAATAAATATAGGGTCAAAGAGAGGGAGCATCTAGTCCATTCCTGTTAGTTATGTGAATACTTGCATTTGGAAGAAGATCCTAAAATGCAGAAGTGTAGCACAACAGCACATTACAGGTACAGGGGAGACATTGGCTTGGGATGGGAAGGGAGCCAAATACTCGGTTAAGAGAGTATGGGAGTCTATTAGGGTTCCTTTATTGGATGTATCATGGGCAAAAGTTGTCTGGAGCAAGCCTGTTTATCCAAAGCACTGTGTGTTGCTACGGTTAATCATATTGGGGAGGATTAAAACAAGAGACAAGTTGATTGGTTGGGGGATTAGATGTGATGGAAGTTGTGCTTTGTGTAAGGGGGTTTGGAGAGTCGAGATCACTTGTTTAGTGTTTGCTCGTTTGGTATTGCAGTGATGAAGCAGGTGCTATGTGGTATTTGTGTCTTCCCTCAATTTCCACATAAGAGGACGCAGTTAGAATGGGCGGAACGAGTCTGGACACAACCTAATGATAGAGCAGCTGCTGGGCGAGTCATGTGGTTCCTTGGCATCAACTCGATCTAGAAGGAGCGGTGTGCGAGAATATATGGAAGTAAGCTGGCAAATTCTCCCCAACAGGTTGCGCAAAAGATTATGCAAGAGTTCTTTATATTTGCAAGTGGTCATGTTCCTTATCAGATGAGAGTACTTAGAGTTTCAAACAAATGAGAGTTTACAATTTTCTTTATGATGATTAGTCTGCATAGTATAAGTATGTAAACAGATTGGTTCCTTTTTGAGAGGGAAGTTGCGAGTTGCACTTTCACGGGCTTCAATTCAATTTTTGATTAACTATAAAAAAAATTGTAGAGATATAATTTATTTATATGAGGCATTTACAATATATGAACAACACATATAAAGTTTGATAATATATGAGATGAAACTACAGTGTAACTGTGGGTTATCATTATATATATATTCTCAATAATATCGCTATAGTCGTAATAATTAGCTGGCAAAAATTTGAGTAATATATCAACTTTATACAAAAACGCGAGAAATATGTGGATTTTCTTCGTTTTCATTATAGATTACTCCTTCATTATTGCTAAACTAAAAGTTATATAAATCACAATACATGTACGTAATGTACTTACAAAATCATGAAATGTATGTTAAAGATGCGTGGATTAACAAAAATTGTCAATAACACTTGAGCTTTGGAAAGATGTTTCTCCTAAATTGTATATATCTTACTTCAAGAATTGTCATGTTCTTCATAACCTAAGCTCTGATACCACATGTAAACCTAAATTTACATGAAACTCTAAGATCGATAGAACAACATGATAATCACATGAAATAGGAAAGGGTTAGAAGAATACCTCCTTCCATGTTGATTGAGAGAGAGCTTATGAAGAAGTGGCAACGTTGAATTTTGGGATTCTCTCTCCTAGCCTATAAGTCACCTAATATATGTGTTTCTTATGATATGAAGTTGTGATGGTCCAAAGCATACAATTTATAGGTGGAGAAAGGATCAAAATTCCTATTAAGTTTTCCTTACACTTAATCTCAACCATCCATCCATTATGGAAGAGTTACAATAGGAACATAACTTTTTGGAGTTATTAATCTTTGATAACTCCTTATTCTTAAAGCCAATTGAACCAAATGCAACACTAATATTCCTTTTATAACTCATGGGTTTCATAATAGATCATATTAAGGATGAGATAACTCTCTTGCACTAAAATTTATCTTACAATCTACTTAGCATAAGCAAAAAGACAGTAGGATGATGGATCATCTTGTCTTAGACCCTTGTTTGGAGTTAAAAGATAAAGAACTACAACTGTAAATAAGCAAAGACAGTAAATTGAGGGGGTTCCAGTATGAGAAAGCTTCACCCAGGTATTGCTCCCTGTTAGAATATGACTTGAATTTGATTTGGGTTTGTTTTGTGCTTTAGGCCTATTCTGTTTGGGTTTGGGTTAGAGTTTTATTTTGACCTTTTCCTTGTATGTTTGGGAAAATGTATTTGGTTTTCTGTTTGGGATTAGGAGAAGAGTTCTATAAATACTCTTCATCACCCTAGTCTGTAGTAAGGTCAGTCAGGTTAGTTTGTTTGGTTTGTCCGTTTGGAATTTGGTTTGTAACATGTACTCTCCTCAAATCAGTGAAATTTGTTCTCCCTTGCCCGTGGATTAGCTAGCACACATTGTGTTAGTGAACCACGTTAAATTTGTGTTCGTTCGTGTTAGTTTGGATTCTCGATTGCCACGCTTCTGTTCTGACAAGTGGTATCAGAGCCTTTGGTTGCGGTTTTGGGAATTTGGCGCTGGACTGAAGTTTTGTTTTGTGGAGTTTGGTTGATAGTAAGAATGGCTGCTATCAGTTTGAAGATTGAAAAATCAATTTGGAGTTGCAGGCTTGGAGTTAGTAGTAAATTTGATGTTGGTGTTATGGACGGAAATAACACCAAGCTAGTTCTGCATCGCAAGTCCCAACATGGGTTGGACTTGTTGCATGTTTTGATTTGTTGATCGCCCTTAGGGGCATTTGGAGGCAGGGGAGATTCTGGTACAACTGATTTGGAGAGTTTGGTA